AACTACAATTTCTTGATACCTGAGCAAACCATACGTGTCCCTGGTATATACGATCATTCTTGACAATGGCTATGTTTATGTAGTAGGCAATAAAACCACACCCGCACTTGATCCCATAAAAGTGAATGACGCAACTATGAAAAGACGGGACTAGATTTTTATATTTTTCAACATGGTGTATACAGTGATTAATTTAATTGGTATGAAAAATCTTTAGCTTAGAATTCAACATTTTTTTTCTAAACTACTTTGGATATATGTATATCCTTACAAGAAAAGGAGACTAAAAAAGGAACTTCATAAGTTCATGTTCATAATTCTTTTAATCTGTTTATTCGAGATCGGCATTTTTTTTTAAATTCAATTAATGTTTGAAGCTAGTTTCATTCTTAGAATATTGTTATCTTTCTTAAATATAATAAAACAATAATATATCATAAAAATGTTAAACCTGTGATAAGCCAAAAATTGTCTCTCGTAAAATTGTGTGGAGGAAGTAGGATGATATTTTTACAGAATATGTAATTAATTAAAAGTCAACATATAGGGATAACGACCGAATAGTGGCGGGATACGACCTCGTGGTCTAGTTCTTTAACATACTGCTTTATTTTCTTTGGTCGACGGTTCAATTCCGCGCACGTTGTAAATATTTGTATTTGTATCGTATATTATGTATGTATTTACAAAAAAACCGAAGTATTTATATTAGTTGCCTAGTACCCATAACAAGCTTCCTTAGCGTGGGACTAGATGGCGCTGAGTTAATTGTCCAAGGTTATTTATTTATTTAACGTATAGTGATTAAATACAATTTGGTGTAAGGTTGAGAAGATTTCAAAATCCTCCTTGGTTTCTAATTCTATTATTTTATAGAACTATACTACTTCAAAAATTCAGCAAATTACGATTTCTTTTTAATCAATAATGCTTACTCTCCTACTGGTCGTTTGTTATGATCGTCATTGTACAAGCTGATGACATTTATGTACAACCACAGACAACATAACACAGTACAACTATAACTTTAACAATTTATTACAATATTAAATAGGCCAGATATATAATGAAAAATAAGCTCAGTATAAAATAATGTTGACCTCTTTTTATTATTCGCGTTCACGAAGCAATGAACATTTGTTATCTGTTGTCAGACGAAATGGAAATTCCCGATTTCATCTTTACCCTAATCTTTCTAGCTGTGTACATGACAAAATATAGGTATATAATTGGATTTTTTTTTAATTACCATCTATATTCTTACTAATCCATAATCAATGTGACGCTGTCCAAATAAGTATTGACTCTGTATGTGCTCTAAGAAATTTTCCTTAGTCAAATGAAATGCATTAATATCAGCAATCTTATCAAAATTGATTAATTTAATATTGTATGATAAGTATTCTAACAAGATATCTACTAATGAATGTCATGTCTGCATCGTAATACATAAATCATGGTAAACAATGCAAGCTCATGCGTTGTTTACATTAAGGGTAGTATCGAATTCTAATTGTAAATATCTATAACATATAGAAAAATGACTTGAATTATACATACACATTACTACACTAATATAATATTCAGGAATACAAATTAATTCTGTACGAGGAATGATCCTATTTGTAATATAATTGATCATATATAATGTACTTTCTGATCAAAACCTAAATTACATTATCGTCTAAAAATAAAAATGTATACATTTTAGAATATTTGATGTGTATTTTGAAAATGAGAGGTTCATAATAAGATGCTAACGTCAATACAAGATGATTGGTATTTGATTGATGGGTTGCGCACACCGCATTGTTTGTGTAACACCATTATTCAAGTCGACTTAATAGCTTTAGGACACAACAAACAGCTTAATTTACACTAAATAACTTAATCCCAAAGGAATTTGTCTTGAATCCAACTAACATTTGTGTTCATTAGCAATACGATTACAATTCATAAAGTTCTATGATTTCTAATTATAACTTTCAAGAGGGGCAAAAGATTGCTAGTAATGGGTATAGTGGCCAATTGATACCAATGACCTATACCAGGTTCGTCCTGAACACCATCGTGTTTATTCTTCATGATTTTGCCTCGTTAGACTATCACGTCTGACTCAATTCTTATCTTGTCGTTTTTCACTGGTACCATTTACTCAATTATAGTCTATTATTATTATAGGTATTAGTAATTGGTACCATACCTCATAATATTGTAATTTCAATCTTAATCCTTTAGATATAACTTTTGGTAGCGTTAAAATTAAAGATACATGTACTTCTTATATCATTGTCTACATCCCGAATTAAATTGGAATAAAAATAAATAAAAAAGAAAAAGCGGAGTGTGGAAAGATTTCATAATACTTAAGAACCTTAAATCACTAATTTGCTTTGCCTTTATATATATGGCCTCGGTGGTCTAGCGGTTTAGTGGCAGTTTCTCGGTGGCCGTACTTCCGATAATCGCGGGTTTAATTCCTCGCACGATACAAACATTTGTATTCATGAGTATGACTGTTTGTATTGGTCTGAGTGTAAGAGAGAGACTATGTATAATATGTATGTAATTACGAAAAAAAATGATGTAGTTGTAGTCATCTAGTATTGTCCTGAGATTTTTATTATTATACACATTTCTAAATCTACCGTAGTAATAATATTCACGTTTCTGTAACTATATCATAAAGCTTTTTTTTCACTGGGTACTTTAAAAAATTATTGTAATGCCATGGTACATGGTAACCATTACCCGTCTTACCAAAATAACACAATAGTAGGTACTGTTACTCATTGTACCTTAACAAACCTTGCGTGTTTTAACACAAATACTTCTATACAAAATATTACATAAATAACACGCCAATGTGATATGGGTACATAAAAGTGTAGTTTGAGATTGATCTACACAATATATTACCAACAATACAATTATCAAGTGACATAGATTTACTCAAATAGTAACTCTTTCATTAGCATGTACCAAGTACTATGTTACATGCTACCTTATAAATACCAGTAGCTAATTCATGTTAAACTACATATAGATGTACACGGAAAACAATGATAGCAGTATTTACACAATTGAGATAACACACCGACTATAAACAAGTTTATGATATATGTAGATATACACTGCAAATCGGTTTGTGCAATCTTTCTTCCACCAAACACGATTACATTATAAAACATATAATAGAGGTTACAGGCTATTATTATACGTTTACAATTAATTCCTTATATAATATCTCTATTTTATGTAATGGGTATAAATAACTGATCTGCTCTAATCACTATGACTGATTTCCTCTTATTAAGTAATTGTTTAACCAGTTGGTTATATATTCAATATTTTTCTATTTGAGTATTTAATTGAATTAGTGCTAATTGGTGGTTTGTATTCACACACTTAAACTTAAAAATGTAAAGTAATAATAAAATTATTTAAAAGAGCAACACGCAAGTTTATGCCCGTTTTTCTTGTAATGAGAAAGCATTCCGAATGAGCGGTAGATTAAAAAAGTGATGACTATTCAAAAGTTCTTTAATGTAAGTTTATTTGAATAAATGATTTTCTATTCTATTCTATAATATAGAACAACAACTTTCAAAATCCAAAACTAACTATTTTTCCTATATTTTTCATTACATCTCGATTGTTAATAAGTATCTACCTATTAAGGTATTCCTGGTATCTAACTGTCAGATATCTAAAAATATGTTTTAGATATCTGAAATTTATATTCTAATTTACAGAACATCCGAATTTCCTATAAAAATATTTCCATTTTATTGAATTTGGCAAGACATTTTCCAACGATAAAAATTAGTAGTATCAAAAAAAATACTATAATTTATAAAACAGAACGTTATAATTTTTAGCAAACAGAAATCAATAGTCTTTATTTTATACCATTGTTAACTACTCTCTGGATATATACACTGGATAAATATTATTTGTTGTCAATGAATTATAAGATTTAAGCAATACCTACTCTTCCAAGTTTCCACGAAATTGGCGCATAGTTATTTATTTTACATTAGTTTGTTTGTGTATCTTCTCACGTCAAAATCCGTGTTGTATCGGATTCAAATTAGTAAAATAAACCATTTTAACGTCACCACATACCGAAATTGTTAAATTGGTGATATAGTATATTATTCATCAACATTATTAGTAATAATAGTAATATTTCATTTATTTATTCACTTCAGAATACTAATGGCCCATTTTTATAAATATTCATATATACAGTAATTTACAACAGCAATATATATATGCATAGGTACATATATATATACCTTGTAGACCCATATTGTAAATACCTTATAGACTAACATACATATAAAATAATATTGGATTGATATCAAAACCATATTATCGATTTTCTCGAAAATTTATTGTTAATTATGCTAACTGTTACTTAATTGAAATATGAGAATATTAAGAATCTTGGAAAATTCTATCAAATATATTGATAGAATTTTCCAAGATTGTTTGTATATTATTATCTTAACAGAGTATTTCTGTTATAAAAGTCCATCAGTTGTTATTTATACTGTCATTTCTTCTATATTTCTACATCAATTGTAAGATAAAAACCCAGCTAATGTGATTAACTCATAAATATTGATCAGATCTATAAAGTACCATAGAATATAATAACAATTAAGGAGAACTTTTTATATATATATATATTTTTATATCTTACTAAATAGTCATTTCTACAAGATTAATAAGTACTGTAATGAATTAATACTAATTATTGGTAGTAATTTATAGAAGAAACGTGCACAGATTTAAAATAAATATAGTGTATAACTAAGGACGCCTTGAAATGCATCTTGAAATTATTTGGCTTTAAAAATAATTTCACATATCAGAAGGATTAAAATACCTATAACGTTCATAGATTATGTCATAAGTACTATAACGTTATCAAATTTCAATAGTAAAAACTAATGTAAATAATACGTTTTCTTAACGATTACATTTCTTACCTTGTATCCATTGTGATAATTTTAAACGGTGAGGACGATAGCGGCTGCTATCGTCGGTTTCCTTTGTTCTTTGTTCAGCGTTCAGGCCTTAGTTCACTATACTAACACAGTAGCCATACGAGTAGAAAACCCGACGATCGCTTACAGCTTGTTTGTAAAACGATTAGCGTGCTTGCCCCCGCTCCCAAAGTTGACATTGCGCACTTACTGATTTTTTAACCTTCACATAGAAATTACTTAGACAAACTTCAGCTGATATTTTTGTATATCACTTCACTATGAATGGCATATTTATACGACGAACACTTTACAATAACATCTATTATTTATCTGAATACCGCTTAGATATATCATATATCATTTTAGCGCTATTTACCATTTACACTTGGCAAACAAACGTTTAACACAACAGCACAAATACCGATTGTTATAGAATATGTTCTATTTATTACAAAATATCTTAGTATCTATCTGAATGTCGAAATATCATTAAATTATTTGTAGTTATAATAAACTAATTTAGATAATAAGAATGTATTGTTTTGAAGTATTTAAAAGTTCCGTAAAATATAAAGGCTTGTTCAGCGTTGTAATGTGTACGCTAGCGAAAGTTTCAGTGTACGAGATTGAGCGCGCCTGAAACGATATTTCGGTTCGCTGGGTGCAAAGCGAATGACGCACTCCCACAGTCCCACAGACGGTCGACACCCACCCCTCGTGGTAACTAATCGTCATGAAGATGTCAGTCATCATAAGTTTCTGAATCAGTACTTAGGATAATTAAAAAAGAAGAAAAGTTTTATATTGCAAGTATTTAATAAATGGGCATTTTGAACGATAGGAACTTCCTATTTTTTAATACCTTTAAGTTACATAAAAATATTTATGTAACTTAAAGACATAAACATAAACATTTACGGCTTAGGTGGTCTAATGATTTATATATCTGAACGGCTGGAGGCGGTTTTAATTTTGCCTCGATATAAAGATTTGTACGCATGATTATGATTGTTGGTGTTGGTCTGAGTGTTTCTGTATATAATTACAAAATATTTGTGTATAAACGAAATGTAAACATATTGAACTATTTTTACAAGCTGGTCAGCATCCGCAGTACGAGCTCCGCCAATATAAAAGTAGGTGGCGCTTTGTGCATATTCCTTGTAGTTATTTCTTGTGCATCTTATTGGATACTGTAATCAATCCTAAGAAAGTTATTTTATTTATTAATTCAATAGCAAAACCGGAAACAACGTAGCTAGTATTCGTTTTTGTTTGTGTTTTGTTTTCTTGCACCTTTTATTTATTACGATATATTATTTACACCTTGATCACTGGCCAAATTTAACATAACATATGTGTAAAACAAACTTATATGTAGATACATAAATACCAGTACATGTATAAGTATTATTTTAACAAAAAAATATTTAGATTCCATTCAGATTAAAGAGTATTTTGTTTCGACTACAAAAGGCTTATGGGAAAATTTTATGTTCACTCGTTGGATATTAAAAATATCCGCGTTATATTATACCTACTAGCTGACCATGCGACTTCGTCTGCGTCACTTTTATCCCGTTTTTTATGCAGCTCCGCTCCTAATAGTCGTAACGTGATACATAGCATAGCATACATGCATATATACATAGCATACATATGACACTATCAAACAACGTGGTTACCTAAATATAATATTGATAAATTTCAGCAAAAATTTAATTTGTAAAATGCCCTAATTGTAATTAGGGCATTATCATTTAATCAAACAAATAAACTCTTCAGCTTTATAATATTAGTATGTACAAGATAGTAAACACAATTTTTTTCTAATTTGAGAATTTCCTTTAAGAGTTTATAGAGAAAAGCTCCCTATAATATAATAAATATTGAAAAATAAGTAATAATGGATTGACTTTCAATTGTTCAGTTTTTCAAAATGTTATATTATTATTTTTACGGATTCAAAAAATAATTGAATATATTTAAATATATATATTTAGCATTCTATACATATATACTTTTATCTCATAAATTTATTTTTTTATAAATCTCTAATACAAAAAATGCAGCTTTACACTTGACGACTATATTATATGATATCCTACTTTAATTTTAGTTTATAAACTACAACTTTATGTCAAAAATATTTCTTATGAATTCAGAATCCGGTATTGTATTCGGACTAAGATCGCGTAATCACTCCTTTGTAATAGTTTAAAATTATTACTTTCGTGTATATATTATATCATAGTCTGAGAGGTACAGCTCGTTCAATTTTACAGATATTTTGATATAGCACACATGTATCTAATAATAATATAATAATATATTGATCATTAACTTAAATAAACATATTAATTATTCTTTTGTTTCCTGTACTTTGGAATTTTAGAACGGTATTCTATGTCGTCAATAAATGTATCATAAACATTGACTATTTTACTTCAACGTCCAGATTTAGTGGAGTAATAATAAAAAATATTTTTACAAACTTACACTTGCCTAACTCAGTCATAACGACAGGATGAAATCAATTTAGTTAAATATCTAATTGTACCTTTCGATAAATTGGACCAGTTTATTCAATATGTTAAAATAAAAGTCATACAGAACTAGATACTATTAACAGAAACTTTATGCAAATATAAATATATAATTTACTTTGATTTAAATGTTAGACACGTAAATAACTGGCTATAAAAAAAAATTCAGTTGAATGTTTTACCAGGTATTCTCAATTGTAGATATAACAGTCTGAATCTATAATCTGAACTGGATGATAGGGGAAAAACATGAATATAAAAAATATTTTCATAAGGGTTTAAAACGCACTACATATATGTACATATTTAATAAATTTGAAATTTTATCTATAATTTAAACTTATGATCAGTATAAATAAATGCTTTAATTAATATATATGCATGAATATCTTGTCATATTTGTATTCTTTAGTAATACAATCAATTTGATGTTAAAATTTGTTCAATGTATGTGTAGGTTTATTTTATTACAACAGCTAAATTTATTCGGTCTCGAAAACAATTTTCACTTGAGTTGATTTTTTAGGGAACATCTGATATTTAATATTTATTTATCCTATAAATCCATACTTACATAATTACCTGAATACAAAAATAAATACATCCTGGTTATAATCCTACCAATACTTATGATTCAAAATATGGTAGATTACGTCTGCATTGATTACCAGTCTATCAATATTTTAAGTGTATGTATGTATAGTATAGTAATATATGAAAGCTATAATAAATAAATTTTATAAAAGATCAATGAGCAGTGATCAATTGCTACAGTTAATAAGTTATTTTATATAAATATAAAATTATGTGCTTGTCAACTGTTGTGCTAGTTGATAGTTATTATTACATTTGTCTTTATAGTGGTATATCACTAAAGTAATAAATAAATTTGTTATGTTGACGGATAGTATTACTATCATCTCTTACTTTTTACAATAGCCAAAAGTATTTTACGTTTCTACCCCTATTTAAAGATCAGTTATAGTATCTATATTATTTTTTAGAAACATTGGCATGCATTTAATTCTATAAAATAACATAATAAAAACATTATTTTAGTCATTTGATCACTAATATAAAAAAACCAACATCAAATGTAAATGAAAAATATATCCAAAAGACGCTTAATAGCTGACATCAAATATATACGTAGATTATGGAAGTTAACTGATCAGTAATTGATTTTAACTTCCAGATAAACAATTAGACCAATAACTTATTCTAGCAACTAATCTCAGAACTTTCAGGATGTTTTGTTTGTAATTATGTAGTTACAAAGAAAAGAGAAAGGGAAGTTCCGTTTATCTGTATAGTTTCAGCAAATGAAATCTAGTATCACTAAATTCTTGCAACAATCATTGTTATTCCAAAAACCCTTGTACTATATTATTTACACAATATTACTTATGTCAAGCTTACTCAAGATCCTACTTATAGAATTAATAATACTAAAATATCTTATAGACAATTTTATACTAGATACTGTAATTTGATATAATAAATGTAATTATGTAAAAATGTATTCCATCTTGCATTATACCTACCCTTTCAATCAAAATAGGAGTAGAAAATCAATTCAGTGTTGCTTTGTTTTCTGAATCATTGTATCATTGGACTTTGTCATGATGGAATTAATCATTCTCATCTATATAATAAAAACAATGGGTACGTAAATAAAATATTGTCTGTTTCTTCTAAAATTAGGATAATATACAAAAAATCTTTTTAGTAATTACTTTTATACATATTATTCTATAAAATAATGCTGTATGGCTATTACAATTTTATTCTTTAATTTTATTAGCATCTACACAACAAAAACTTAATTAGAGTGGAAAAATGATCAACCTTAGTTTCAAATTGATGTAGTCGATACCATGAAAATGTAAATTGTTTTCCATTGTTAATACTTTCGTATAAATCAATGCATTGTATCCATTGATACATACCAAAAAATATTATTTTAATATGTAACACACTTATGTGCAATAAATATCTTATAATTTAATCCAAAGCTTATTCTAATGATTAACAGATTTGTATGCACGGTCGTGGTGTAGTAGATCCCAAATATGTGGCATGTTAAATTATGGCTGTCACTAAACATTTTTATATATTAGATCATATAGGTTTTACACCACCTTATATTTAAATATTCTCTCCAAATGTTGACACACATTATTAGTTTATTAGATGACACTGCCTCTGAATACACCCTCTGGGATTACAGTCGCCGTGAGATTGTTTGATTTACTTTTCACATTACCTTTTTACTTCCTTTCGTTATGCAACTAGTTTTAGAACATGAAATCCACTATCAACGAATTAGTCTCATTTTACATATACGTATCCTATTTATTCAAGTGTGTGTATATATAATGATACATAATGAAACCTATGCATATATAGAGATGATACTAATAAGATATATTCAGACTTGTTACTGAACTTCACCCTTTCAAGTCAGTTTCTTTGAACTACTCGTAACTTTTACGCATGTATACAACCGCAGTCATTAATAAGATATAGCTGTATTCTATATTCATATGTAATATGACAGGTATATATGTTATGACCTAAGATAAGGCATAAGGAATATATTCCCTAATCTGATATTTGAAAATGGTAACGTTTATATCATAGATAATATGTAGATTTATAATCACAAATGGGTTGGCTAGCTAAATCCTAGGCCCAAGGTGTTAAATCACAGAATAGATACTAAGTAAAATATAGATATAGCATCAGAAGATATTACTCAAGGCACCACCTTCGCCAACACGAGTACATAAATCATTATGTAAAGAGCTTAGTTAAACTTTCATGAAATAAGATGTCAACTAAAATGTAATCACAGTTAAATGTCATACATTCCTCATAATATCTCAGGATAATAGCTGTAAAGATTTCTTATTTTGTATTTCATTGTTTTATATTAGTGTAGTTAACGATTTTGTTTCGATATATATAAATTTCGGAAATTGTTAACTTCTACGTCAGTAAAAAATACCGAGGTAGAAGTTAACAATTTCCGGAACACGCATTCACGCACCTACGAGCGCGGTATTGTTAACATATAACTGTATGAGCTTAAGAGGTTATTTCCCACATTCAAACTCCCTTTTTATTATAATAAGAGAACTTGACACTTAATTCTCTCTACCTACCTTATAATGGTTGGAAGTGAAGACTGACAATAAAGAGTAATTACGAAATTTAAGACGTACTCGTGCCTTTACAATGTGGGAAAAAACCTCCCAATTTTTTTACAAATTACACACTTGAAATTTTTTTATCATACAATAATAATTGATGATGATTATGGATTATAACTGATAAGATTATTTACTGGGTTCTTAACGTTATAGGACTATTACAAAGTGTAGTCTGTGGTTCTATTATTACGTTATTAATATTTTACCTTGACATGTTATCAACAATTTCATTGTATACTCATAATTGCAGATAAGATAAAAACATATTAGATACTTTTTTTATTCAAGTACAACAATTAATTCTGGATTTGCCCATTTCGTCTTAAATTTTCATTCATAACATATACCTGTATTTTGTACTCTATATATGGCTAATTATTCATTCCACTTAAAATTCAATCATCTTTCAAATGAATGATTGATGTCAACCAGAAAGTCCTTTAATTTTTTTATTATGTAGTTCTGTGTAAAAAGATGATATTCATTTTACACAGCACTACGTATAAAGAAAGTTTTATAAAGAACATTGGCAGTACCATTATTAACTGGACTCGTTACTGGACTGATTTTCTTTTATATTACTGATTACAGATTATAAATAGTTTGAGCATTCCAACGATCAACGTGATCCAGAACGCACATATCACGTAGAAAGTTGTTGTTTACAAACAAATCAATTGCCGTTTATTCAATAAAGTGTATGACAATTCTATACATATAAATAATATACTATTTACTCTTTTCCTCGATGTAATTTATACATTGTATTAATGTAATAGTATATCGGAAAAATATATATAACGGAAATCAAATCAAACATATAAAAAATATTGTAATTGTATTCATTCATCATAATGGAATACTAAATAAAAATACAATAATCTATATTATTAGATATATCTAAAAAAGAGATAGAATAACAAGTATTATAGACATAAGAGTATATTACAGATTCGTATATAATATTTATAATAATTAGACGCATCATTAGATATTGAAAATCACGGCTATAGATATGTAATGTAATCTAAAAAATTCATGATTAGTATTTCAGATAGTGTGTGGACAATGTAATATAAATGCTTGTGAAGTATTGGAAATGGTCAGCAGAGGTTCCAGCGTTAATCACAGTCCATCTGTAGACCCATGCACTGCTGACATCCAATGGCGACAACTGGATCGTAGATTGAGGGCTATTGAACAATCAAGTTATATTTTTATTTTATATACCAATTACTTTCTATTATGATTAAGGGGGTCTTCCTATGTGATGGGTTGAAAAAATCGATTTTTTTTTTCATAAATTGCTCCCTTAACATGTCTAGAATACGGTAGTAAAGCGATTTTAGAAAATTCGAAGTCGTTTTAAAGATACAGCAGGTAAAAGAAAGAGCGGTTCGGAGCGGTGAGTTGGCAGTTAGAGACCGGGCCTATTGTGTACCGTCGGCTTTATACCTGGCCTCCCTTTTATTAATATATTTGTTTATACAAGTTTAGACACGTTTCTACAGACTTAAACAGAAAAGGAGCAGGTAAACTTACTGATAAAGTTATCCAAGAAATTACAAAATTCTACGGATTAGCAATTCGACGCCATCCAGATTCGCTTGAAGATATGAGAAAGGAAGTTTGGGCAACGTACTATCACAAATGTTCTTCTGATGAAAACCCTCAGCATCAATTTTGTCCAGAAGGCGAAGACAGTTGGTGTAAATGGCGTAAGGCTGAAGCTAATAATGAACTGGACCAATTTCATCACGATAAACTACCTCTAATTCCGCAAGTCCAAGAAGCTATCAAACCGGTTTTCGAAGATTTATCGAAAGACGAATTATTAATTCGTTGTTTAGGAGCAGAGACACAAAACAATAACGAATCTTTGAATTCTTTGATTTGGACTTTCGCTCCTAAACATCTTCATTCTGGTCCCAAAGTTGTTGAAATTGCTAGCTACTTAGCAGTTATTATCTTTAATGAAGGTTTTCAAGGTATTTTAAAAGTTATGTCGATTATGGGATGCCCTATTGGTCGTGAAGCCCAAGCGTATGTTGAGAAACGGGATGAAAAGCGAATCTTACGCTCTGAGCGGCGCGTAAGTGATGTCGTTAAACAAGCCAGGATTGACTCAAGAGCTGAACAATCTGCTTTAAAAGAGTTTCACGAGGAAGAGGAAGGAATACTCTATGGACCAGGCATCGCCGATTGAGAGTAAGTTGATATTTTAATAGTTTTTAACGGACTTGAAACTTTAAACGCGTTTTTCTCAAAACTGTGTTTTTCAAACTTTCCTCCATTGTATCTCAGAAACGGCTGGACCGAATTACTTGAAATTTACAGGGCACACTCAATATATGTAAACGCATGGAATGAACTATTATCAATCGAAAATTTTCAAAACTTCGATTTTTTTATAGCGAAAAATAAAAAAAAAAACGCCTAATTTGCAACTTTTATTTCAAATGTCTATCAAAAATCCAATTTTTTTTATATTCATTTGATTATAGGTCATTCCGTGCTTTTAAGCCTACAAATTAAAACGCCGTTTTTTTTTTTTTCAGATAAGCCGATCAGCCGGAATCGTGGAGGAAGTGGGAGCTCTTTTTTTCGAGGTGGGGGTGTTCAGAGCGCTGTAACTCTAGTTTGACTGAATATTTTTAGTTGAAATTTTATATTTATACTGTCCAAATATGTGTTAATAAATGATAAAAAACTTGAAGCTCTAAATATTTACTGGTTGTAGAAAAAAAATCCTAAAATATCCCTAAAAAACAGGCCGTCACATAGGAAGACCCCCTTAAAAACTGACTGATTTACTGATGAGTTAGCTCAGTTTCCAGTTACTATCAGCATGTTTTCTATTCCAATTTTATAAAAAAATGATGAAAGATGCCCTCAATAGAAATGATTATTTCTTATTCTGGCAACAATATCATATGGGGAATTCCCATACCGAGTATTCATCAGACGGAACGCGAGTATTTGTTTCTGCAGGCATCCAATCTATTTTGTGATTTGTATTGGGCTTACGTAGTAACTAGTTTGGGCGGTCCTGCTTTATACTAGGATAATCAATAGATTTTTAAAAATGATTTTTATTGTAAAAAGAAAAATATATTTAGTCAACCTTTGATTTGGATTAATACTTTGATTATTTCACATTACTAAGGTTTCCTTACCAAAATTACCAGGATTGTATTCTGAATGTACTATATGTACACTAGGTATATAAGTGTGTATAATATATATAGGTAACAAACGTTTAAATATTTTTAAATAGCATTGGGATTAAGGTGTTCATATATAAATAATTAAATCTATATCTAAATACGACTGTGGGCGACTTTATCAATATAATTCTGCCGTTTGCAAAATTTGCATATGGCAATGCAAGTTTTTTAAAAGTTATATTATTATGAAATTCCACAGCCAAGTGATATAATTTTAATTTTTATAATGTTTCTTTGTCAATTGATTAAATTAACAATATTTACTCATATTATTATAGTAAAATCCAAATTGGACCTACTTTAATAGGAACCACTCGGAAGACATCGCAAGAATATATAGGTACAATGTAGATACGATATTATTATCTAAAATAATTTAATTATTTTGAATTAGCATGGACGATCAGTTATGGTCAATCGCGATGGCGACAGTGTTCCAAAAGTGTATGTCAATGCGATACCACCCGGCGATCATTAAACTGCTGGAGAGCTGGTCTATCCAATCTCCCTACAGACTTGATAGTTCCTGCTGATGTTGTAACTATGTTAGTATTTATTTATTTTAATTAGTTACATTAAAAGAATGTAAACTGCACGGATTGATAGCATCTATATACTGTTGCTAGTTTCCATTTATATTTTTCATAGAAGTAGCCCGTTTTGAAAGTCATAATAATGCTATGCATTTTGTATTTAAATTTAAAAATAATTTATTCATATAGGATATTATAATCGCTTAGGTAAGTCAAGTTTTAAATGTCAATTTATTCCCATATCTTATGAATTCAAATTTGCTACTACTTTTATAAAAAAATCGATAAGTAGACCCCAATAGTTCACAATGATTGAGACGTGATCCACATCCTCATAATTATATGACTATATACATATGTATTTGCATGTTATGTTATAGTAACTTTAAGTATAAATCCTAATTTTTTAAAAACATGATAGAGAACATTGGAATTATCAACCGGTCTGTATTAGAGCTAAACAGCTGACCTGAATTATTAATTAGCTACTAAACACTGCGAAACATTTACAAAATAAACATATTTTTTACATTACTATTACTAAAGTCATTTCAGATACATATCTTGTAGTCATAAAATTATTAACAACGAGATAACATTTTAATTTGTCATTTCACTACTAGATATTATCGTCCTTAATCATTGCCTTCTACCATTTGTGATTCTCGGTTTCCCAAATTCATCAATTTTCAGCTAACTTTTTAATGTCGTCGGTCCATCTAGCTCCCGACGCTCAGTCATTCCAGCCATTATCATACGCGGCCTCCGCTCTAGAATTTGACTCATTTCCTTATTTTGATTATTAGCATAGATAGATCTAACAGTAGAATAGGTATTCAGATTATTTATAATCTTATTATTTCCATTTAATACATTAGTTATTGTATTATTTCTGAAATAACTTGTTCATTATAACGCCTATCTGCAGCATGGGTCCTTGTATTTACTTCTTGACACAGCAGCGCTTTATTTGCAATTAAAACTTAAGTTACATCAAAATTATTTGGTCATAAATAGCTTTTTCCTTCATTAATTACCAATATATAAATTGTTTTTTATTTCGTGAGCCTTTCTCTGCAATCGATACTGTTCATCGATAAGTTTATTATATTATTTTGGAACAAAGTATATGTAAAAATCTACAATAAATTATTAATATTTGTTTTAAGCAATTTACCTACAATAAGTTAAAATATTTCAGAGATCTGGGCACAAATAAACTGCGAACACTGCACAAAACTATATTCAAAGGAATGCGCTTACTCGGCGAGCTGGACATGTTTGACAATTATGTAGAATATCTACCAGCTGGAATATTTGATTCACTCGCCAATCTCAAAATACTGTAAGAAATCGAATTGAGATTTGTTTTATTCTGAAGTTTTTGAAAATATTACTAGAATATATATATGGTAACAAAATCTTGAGCATATGAATACTATAGAATAACATTTTAATATTAAAATAAGTTCAATTAATTAAAAGAATTATAAAAATGTTTGTTATCGTATCTTCGATATCCGTGACTCGCAGCTATGTCATAAATTATCAAATAATTTTATCGTTAATTCATACACTTAGATTTGAATTCTCAATGTACTAAAATTGCATTAAAATATTACAAGATATTGTATTTATGATTGCGAACCTTGTTGACATCATCACAATTATTTGATTAATCCAGTTTCACAGATCATTATTTAGTTAATATTATGTTATCTGTGGTTATACGTATCTCTATGTGGTTATTTTTACTATTAAAATTTTTATTTTTTAGACGTCTTCAGAGAAATTATCTTGAGGAAATTGATGGTGCGGCGTTTCGGTATACAAAAAAACTGTTTCATGTAGACCTGTCCAATAATCATTTGTATACACTTCCGGAACAACTATTTGCTAATTGTTCTGTATTAGAAACAATAGATATTTCCAACAACCGTTTAAAATATATACCTTCAAACAGTTTTGTGGGACTCAAGTCACTTTCTATATTAGATTTATCAAAGAATAGAATTCAACGAATAGAAAATGGAACATTCTTGCTTGCCACCCTACATATATTAAAACTATCAGATAATAGAATAAGTAATATATCAGAAAACGCTTTTAAAGGTCTTGTTTCTATAGATACATTGCTGCTTGACAGAAATAAGTTAAGATATATACCAAATCACCTTTTTTATAATCTCGAAACTTTAACATTTCTGGATTTATCGAAGAATCATTTGATAAGAGTAAGTACATTCAGTATATAATAAAAATAAATGAAAACTTCAGGAGAATTCTATACTTAAACGCATTTTTTTCTCTTTTTACACAATCCAATTGAAAACACCCCTACAAACAATCATACATATATATTGTGTTTGTACTGGGCGAAGAATTGAACCCGCGACCATCGCAAGTAAGGTGGTGTGCTAAACCACTATACCACCCAGATCGCTATACCACCCAGGCCATCATATAATTTGTAATATAAGGAATCTATTAGTTACATTTTTGTCAAGAAATCTTTATATAAAACCTTTGATTAAATTAAATTCATGTAGGCTTTCTGTCATTAATTTTGCCCATTGTTTAACACCGCTAGTGCGACATTGATATGACATCATTATGTCAATTTTATACATTTAATAAAATACGAAGATGACTTACTATAATGATATTGCTTTATTTCATTTACAGTTGACTGGCGTTGAATTTGAAAATCTTAATACACTGCGTTATTTGGATTTAAGAGAAAATGATTTATCGGAACTTTCTGATTATATATTCTCTAACTGTTCAAAATTGGAAACAATTGATTTAACTAAAAACAAATTGCGTTTTTTAAATTACACGTCGTTTTTTGGATTATACAATCTTGTCTCATTATTTCTATCGGAAAATAAACTGTATGAAGTACACTTTAAGACATTTTACACGCTAAAAAATCTTACAACATTGTAAGTAATTATTACTAACTTTACTTTACTTGCAATGTATATACATTATATTTACAATAATACAAGTCTTTAAATTTATATTAAGTATATTTTTAGAGTAATTGAAATATTTTTTTAATTTCTATAGGCACTTGGACAATAATATGTTCCCGTCACTGCCATCCCGTACTTTGGATTACATGCCTAAAATATCAATCGTAAAACTATCAGGCAACCCCTGGCATTGCGACTGTCATACCTTATACATATCTGCGTAAGTATATATATATCATTACATAAAAATGTATTAAATATGCTTTTATTACAGTAGAAAAATAAACATACGTACATAGAATATGTGTAGTCTTCAGCTTACTGATTGCAGGTAGCACTGCATCGGTTTTGACAAACGTATTCATGTGGTCGAGACGACTTTGAAATTTAACTTGTTGTCTATAAAACATTTCCAATTCATATAGCGCCAGTTTTGAAAATTTTGATAACATCATTAAGATACATTATCATTTCTTTTTCAAAATTAATAATATTGCCATTGTCGCCAGTCGAACAGAAAAAATGGTGTTAATATAGTGTCTTGTAGACAGTATATTATATCAATCGTTTACAAAAGTTCGAAAATATTGATACACTTTTGATATCTATATTTATGACGCATAATCCAATGATCAAACATATGGTTGTACATTTCACAATGTGATAACATGTTATAAATTATACACGATGTAACTTGAGTATCTTTCAATTGCAGTTGGGTTCGTCTAAACGAAATGAAATTATGGGACTACTCTCCAACATGCGTGTCGCCCTGGTACTTAGAAGGACACTTTCTGAAAAATCTTAAATTTCCGGAACTATGTTCCGGTCAATGGGCAAGCATGGTGAATTTATCTCCGAGACTTCCTATTAAACAGTTATTGGCGCTCAATGTTTCAGTCAACAGAAAACCACAAGATAGTATGGAACAAAACCATGATGTCACCACTGTAGATACCTGGCATTGACAAATAACAGTATAAAATTTATTGGAGTATATTACAAATTACCAAATATATTAAATTATATCTGAAATTTTTAGTTGTCATATGCTTATAGTAGTTCTCGTCATAAATTGACAAATTCGCTGCTTGTATTTGTCAATTTATTTAATACATTATGTACTCGTATCTTAATATGATATATACCTAAATAGAAGAGTTTTACTTATTTATTCATCATTTATTAAATAATAAATCTTAGATTTCTAATACGTAATTCTCCTATTACAATTCTGTTAATGACAATGACTTTCAAAGCAAGTATGATTGAATTATAAATTCAACAGTGGTAGAACAACGATTATCTATCTTTATTGGTCACATAATTATATTTCTTATCATTTGAATAACGACAATTAAAAATAAACTGACGTTGACACTAAACTTCGATAGCGATCACATTCTCCGGTCGTTATTAGTATAGGTAAATGTATATCCTTCACTTAAACTGCTATTATCAGAACCTTTTATCACAATATTCTTAAATCAAAAGATAACCTTTTGATGACCTCGGTGGTCTAGCGATTTAAAACCGCTTTCCTTCTGATGATCGTGGTTTTGATTCTTCACATGATGAAAATATTAGTATTCATGGGTACAATTGTTTGTATTAGACTGGGTATTATGTGTGCATATTTTTTATATATATATGTATTTACGCATTAAAAGAGTACTTAAATATCTCTATCAGTTGTATAGTACTGATAACAGAAGTTTTACTTACTTTGGACTGGATACTGTTGTATTTTATTATTATTATATTTAAAAATATATGCATAAAATAATTTGTACAATACTTCCTTAATACAAACACCGGAACAGTATTTTTTTATAATTCGACTAATAAACAAATATCACATTAGTGCCTCTATTGAAACAATAATACAAGATTCCAGACGGCCTCTGTAGTCTACCGATTTAGCACATCGCTTTAGTTCGCGGGGTCTGAGTATTTTTTATGTGTATTATATATGGATTTACGAAAAATAAGTATTACTATCAGTTACTAGTACCTCATAACACAAGTTCTGCTTACCGTGGGACTAAATGGTGCCTAATGTTATTTTATAATTGTCCAGGGTTTTTTTTTGAGGCTTGATAATGGAATGGTGCACCCGCTTGCGTTAACGGTTTACGCTGGCGGGGCACCAGTGGAGGATGATAGGATGAACATGAAGTCAGATCAGTTAGCCCAACGTGACAAATTCACCGGGAATTTATCACGATGGTTTCCAGGGGGAACCGCGTGGAGGTCGACCTGACATGGTACATTGCTAGCAATGGGGTCATTAGTCCACATTACTAACAATCTCCTTCCCCCCAATTGTCCAGGGTTATTTATTTATTATTAACATTAAGATAAGAATTATTAATAAAAAGTCATATATAATAACATATTGCCATATCACCATAACAGCGTTGACAAAAATAGCGTTAATAATTTAACATATTTATATTACATCAAAACTTAATACAGTAGAAAATATCGTAAACTTGTAATTTGTATTTTAAATAAAATTGGTTGCATAACAATGTCTTACAATAGCTAAGGTAAGTTTGTAAGGTAAAAAATAATTAATAAAATAAAATGTAAGAAAGTTACAGTAACAAAAACTTCGTAATATTTTTTTTTTTATATTCCACAAACACATGTGGAGTAAGAGAGTTTTCATGATGATTCCATTCAATAATCCGTTTTGGCACATTGCCACTAATAAATAAATTAAACTAAAAGCAATGCAATTATAATTGTTATTTTTTATAATTGGAATGGCAAAATAACTGACGTCCCACCTGTTGATAGCATACTACTATAGCTTCATTGTATAATCAACGTCTATGGTGGTGTTCATGTATAGATATAGCACAACAGACATATCGTATAATTTCACTACATTATCCCAATCTTTAGCCAAAATAGCTTACAAAGGAAGCTATTTGGCGGTATGAAATAGGTGAGTCTGAAATACCCACGCAGATTACTTTTCACAAAGAGTACCTCGGAAGAGATAACACCAATTTTATTATATAATATTTCAATGAGGCTATATTTATAAATATGCAAATATTTCAATAGTGACTTCCATATTAATATGCCTCCCACCATATGGTACAATGATTTTCTATCGATATGAAGGTTAGAAAAGACAATTGAAAATGACATTAACTATAAACACAAAACACATTAGTACATACGTATCTAATAATATTACTAGGATTGGACATAGTTGGAGAAATTACAACAAAGAATAAATAAAAACCTCTATATACCTATATTTATAATATCAAATGGACTTGACGACTATGTTGCACTAAACATAGTATTGGACATAGTATTATATTACTGATATTGTTAGGTAAAATTTACGGTAACGGTATACAAATTTTATTTAAAATTATTTATTACTAGATTCCACCCCGGGTTTAAGCTGTCTTGCTGGTTGAAGGACTCGATTAACTCTACATTAATATATTTAATTGGTACAAAAGTTATAGAATACATCTTTTAATGACAAATAATCAATATGACCTGTAACTGCAGATTTAAATGTCGATGAAATTTCGTTTTTGTCGTTGAATTCAACATCAATTATATATTCTTAATCGGGAGGTAAAATATTTAAGTCCATATCGTTGTCGTGATAACGTTCACTATCATGTTATTTCCTTGCAAAGATATTTATCGATAGATATTCTAATCGCTATTATATTGATGACTACATCCAATGTACAATTACATTGGAGTCCATTTTTCAAATGAACAGACGTTAATTACACTTCTAAATTAATACTTAAATAGTGTGTGTACAAACAAATTTTATAATTATTAAGTGCATGTATATACTGAAGTTTTATTGTGTTATGTAGATTCGGATGAATTAAAACAATTGTTGTGCTTTAATTTTAGTCCAGAAATGTTTTTAGGAGTGTTCGTATGTCAAGCGTTTCTTAATTTAAATGTAGTTTAGGTCAAGATGGGCCATCTACGTGTAAATATTATAGTGTTAGTTACAATTCTATTATTGATAACATGTAAAGAAATCACAGCCCAAGGTAAGTGTAAACAATTCGGTCAATAATTTTGATCGTAAATATATACACTGACACAAGTTGCAATATAATTATTTTCTACGATTACAGATTGTTCATTAATACCGGGAGTTTTGGAGTATATACCCATAAATGTAAACATCAAAGACATCGATAATGGTATCATTTATGAAAATAACGCAAATGCACAAGTTTCAGGTTAGTCTTACTTTTAATGTCTGTATGTATATTACATTTGTATATTCTTAATAGCAATTTTTTTAATGGTTAGTATAAATAATAATAGTGTTCCATCAAATATATCTTATGTTATGATTAATACTGCGCAATTAAATACAAATGGATTATCTACCAATAAGACCAATAAGAAAAAAGCCACGAATCAAGATAAAATGTGTAATAAACCCCATTTTACCGTATATAATAGAAGCGCTAATGAACGGTAATATGGTAAAAATAAATTATAATCAACTTCCATTCATTTAAAGCGAACACAAGTACGTAACTTACGATAAATTACCATCAAGTCGTTGTTCAATCGGATCAAATTCTAGAACCGTTAAAAATAGTTGGTGTAAATTATAATTAGGTACGTCTACTTAGTATGTAATACCTATATTACATTGAGGTCTGTAATCTCAATACATAAAAAAAAGAAAAGTGATTGATGCTTAGTAATGGTTGTTTACTAGAAAATAAAATTTTATATCTTTACACCGAGAAGCTTGTTTCTCTAATATGGTAGCAAAGTGGTAATAATTACGATCCATAATACCCAAATCCTCTTTTCTCTAATACATATGTTATTCTGTCATATTGGGTTGGTTATATAAAGACATTAAGTGTCCGTTCAATTGAAGTTCTGCAAGAGTTTGCTCGGTCTGTTGATTTATAGTTTATAATGACTATGTTAAACTGAATAAAGAAAATGTTTTGGCATCCTATTATATCTATCTAACCATAACAAAAGCTTTGCTTAACGTGGGCTTAGATGGTGCTGTGTAATTTATCCAGGATTACTGTTATTATTATTTTGAAGGACTGCATGAACTGTTTAAAAATGATAAACGTCTCTTTGGATCTGTATATTCTTACAAGCTCAATGAGAAACGTAATACATAGTATGAATTATAAGAACATAACATAAAAATAAAAAATACAGTAAAAATATACAAAAAACCTACCACTATTACTATAGTAGTAGTACTATAAGCCTGGTAAAAATTTAATTTTAAGATTTAAGAGAAACGACTAGTGCAACCTGATATATATAGTACAATAAGGTTTAATTTATTTGTTAATTCCAGAAATTGGAGATATTATACACATAGGAATTAATAATATCTATTTTACGGGTTCAATTGCGGATTCAAAGTTCTCTTTAAGCACAAGCCCTAACTTTATAGAGTATGAGGAATATGAAACTTCACTTACAGTGGATCTGTCAGTACAAATTACGTGCACTAATGGCATGACCAATCAGCAGGTAAAAGTTCCACGAATGTTATTTGTTATGCTAGACTAGCTGTACTTGCTTGACACATAATATAATATTATTGGAATTATAATTGTATTAGAGCAAATTTTGAAAACAAAATATGAAATAGATTATATAATTAGTATGTTTTACTAAGACATTTTTTTATTTACTAAGATGCTGCTGTTGAAGCAGTGATTCTAAAATGTAACTCTGTTTCAGCCACAGACAGCACTATAGAAAATTTAAAAGATCATCGGCAACAAAAATATTTCATTTATTTATTTACACATTTGTATACAAATAATTTTAATTTATCTAGTAATTAATCTCCAATGCATTTTTCGTTATCTACTAATAGGTAATGTAAATCGGATTAACTGCACCAATATTTTCTTTTACGTGGGGAAAATTTATCATAGAAACTCCCCAGCCTCAGTCGTTAGATGAATGAGTACTGCAGGACTCCTACCGGCTAAAAACATCACGGCATTCCTCCGAATCGCGTAGTACTGGGTAACAGGGTTATTGAGTATACTAGTGCGACTCAGGCGGAGTTTACCTCCTGAAATTTTGAGATCCTTACCTATACCCACCGTAATGGAATTGCAGAATTCGCCTCCGTCCGCTCCAGACTTCATGTCATTGTTTTAGGGCAACCTATTTCGATCCACTCCATTATGGTAGCCTTCGGGGCAATTTGACTTGGGGCACTCTCCCTCAAACTGGGCAGCTCCAGTGGGGGTTAGAGGTGGAAGAAGTTGGCTTCTCCCGTGCCTCAAGACTCCGGCGAGTTTTCTGAACCAACGTTACTTTGCGCAGTGTCCTCGTCACCACCACACCGTCAGGCATCATCCATCATCCATCCAGCCATCCAGCACCTCAACTCGTGTATATACTTTGAAGTATTACAATTTTATCTTAAATGTATGGTAAAATTATTATATTATGCTCATAATTATATGTATAATTTTAGTTATTTCGAATAAATATACAAGATACAAACAACAATTGGCCTGAATTTAAACCTACAAACACATATGAATTTACAATTCCAACACCTATATTACCTGGATACAATATTGGACAATGTGAATCTATAATTGTGAGAGACATAGATCTTACAACGACCGGCATTATTTTCGAATTAAGTGGTAGTAATGACTTTGAAATTATATTCGACGAAGTATCCTCAACAGAACCAAAAGAATTTAAGGCTATTATAAGAACTACAACATTTATTAGTACATTACCAGAATCTACAGAACTGACCATAACGGCAACGGTAAGTACTGGTTTCAAAATTTAATAATAAGTACTGGTTTCAAAATACATGATAAAATCGGAAGATACACTATTCCGTTTATATATTTCACTATAATGTTACATGAGTAGATATATATACCTAAACCATTGCAATGCGGGTAATATTATCTTTTAGATGCCCTGACTTACTCCTCTTAAATCAATTAGGTGTATTGCCATTAATTCATACTATAATATGAAATTAAATACGTATGTAAACTGACTTTATTTTTACAGGATGTTGATGAAACTGGTGATCCACCTCTGACATCCACGGCATCAGTTGTTATTCGCAGTTATAATGATGTATCTTGGCCGGAGGAACCAGTATTTTCCAGAACATTTTACCTAGGCAAATATACTACTGAAAATGTGATTATATTAGAAGAAGCTATTTCACTGCAACAAGGTTATCATGAAGAAGTGGAATTCAGTTTACATGAAGGTATTCTATTAATAAACGAGTTTCAGGACAATTTCTACGAGTTTACCTATTATTTTACGGATTTTTTTGTTTTTTCATCTTTTATATCATATTTATATTAATCTTACGTACATACCGGAAATTCAATGTGTAAAATTGTTTCTATAATTCTACAATTACTACAATATTGCATAATGCGCCAGATTACAGCTTGAAAAATAAAAACAATTGAGGAATAATTATTAATTTTACATTCACAGAATATGCAGCTTATTTCGAAATTATTAAGAATAATAATGACGTATCCCTTTCCGTTATTTCACCATTACCAAGCGAAATCTTAACACAGCAACAAATATACATCGTTGTACAAGCTCATCGGGAATTTACTAGTGGAGCCACAACTACCTTGATTGTACAATTACCTGAAGGTAAATTTAATTATTTAATTCATATAAAAATCACTTAATAATTTTACTTATACATATATTATGCTAGCACTAACAGTAAATTATTCTTTTGATATAGCTATACATTTTTTTTATACTACTATGGTGGCAAACAAGCATATGCCACATACATATATAATATATGTGCTTACAAATAGTTGCTGATGTATTATACAAAGCAATATATATTTATTGTGAGATGAAAATTACGTACACATAATCAGTAGAAACATTATAAATATGTCGTAAGGTATTATTTATATATATGACTAGCTGTACCCGTGACTTCGTCCGCGTAAAATAGTGACCTTGACCAAATAATGAAAAAAATATTTAATGACCTAACCCAATAAAAGCCAAATGAATAAATTTCATTCTTTTTGCTTCAAAAATGACGACACTTCCATATATAACTTTTTCAACCCCTTATAATTCTTTTTCTAAATTTATATTGAATAAATACGCTAAAAATTAAACTTCAAGCTTCTAGCTTTAAAAATGACAATATTTCCATATAAACTAAATGGTTCTCTCCTTTAAATTCTTTACAACCCATTTTTCTTTATTTATATTTAATCAACAGCTTAAAAATCAGTTTTAGGCTTTGAAAATGGCAATATATCCATACAACCTTGCACATTAAAAAGTACCCTATATTCATTATTAGAGTCTAGATTGTATGTTCCAAATTTTATTTAAATCGGTTCAGTAGTTTTAGCGTGTAAGCGAGATCGAGAGTTATAATATTAGTGAGGTATTTAATAAATAAACCCAAAAATTCCAATGAAAAAAGTTTCATCATTCTGGCTTAAATAGTCATGAATTTGCATAAAATATATGTAAAATTTTTAAAAATAAGTTTTAAGTTTATAGCTTCAATAATGACGATTCTTCCATACAATCTATCGTCCCCAATTTCAACCCCTTACAATCCTTTTTTCGCATTAAAAAGTCTGGCCTAGGTCTAGACTCGGATCAGTAGTTTTGGCGTGAAATCGAGACAGATAGACAGACAGAGTTACTTTCGCATTTATAATATTAGTAAGGATAATACTAGATAGTTTGGGACTATGTAATTATTTTGTTCGTATCTTATTTCAGAAATTACTTTACAGTTTGAACAATCCTATTATGAAGGTGCCATCGTAGATAATGAGTTAATAATTGAGGATCTCCTTTTGACACAGGGATACGAAGAACATTCAGTATCACTCTCAGTCTCAAATGGTAAATAATAATATAACTATATGAAATTTATTATATATAGACTGTTAGCATATTTTAAAAAAATCTTTTAATCATATAGTAGACATTTTATCATTATCCCGACCGTATTAATGTACCTTCTATACCGCAACTTACGCGACGACATAACCGAATCTAAATGGCTAGTGCAGCTTTAGGTAAGATGTTTCAAAACATGATGTTTTCAAGTAGCAAATTTACAAGCTGAGTTGAGATTTAAAAAGTTTGAAATTGCAGTGACCATAGATTACCGTGAGATTACTCCTCAAGAATAGCCACAGAGAGGAGATTTTAATATGGGCGATGGTTTTCACTTTCGATTAGCTTGTTATCAGCTTGTTTGCCATTTAAATTTCATGTTTATGAAACAGCTATATGTATTTCAGATAATTTCCAAGCATCCATTAATGCTAATCGTATAACGCTGACAAAGACGCCTAATAGTGCCATTGAAGGAAATGCCTTTTTAAACTTGCAAGTAACAGCGTCTACGGAGCGTAGTTCAGCTACAGTCGTCGTGACTTTAGAAATAGTTAATGATGACAATACAACACCTCTGTTTGGCAAAGCTCTCTACGAAGGAACCTACGATCCTAGTACACTTGAACTGATCATCGAACCAATAGAACTGGTGCAAGGTTATGATGACGCTGTGGAAATTACACACGACGGAGGTAAATATATAGTATCTGTATAACTAAATATTACAACACACTAATAATAAGCGCAATCTTAAGAAACATTGTTAAAAATTAATAAGTAAGAAGAAAACGATGATTTTGACTAAAGATCATAAAAGCATAAGAATAGAGTTCGTGAGTTTGAATTGGTCATACACCAAAGAAATGTGTCAATTTACATTTCTGACTAACTTTCCTAAGCTACCTCTCTATAGAGACCGGTAACAAACCAAATTAATCCGAAAGACGACGGTACCTTATATTCAAATATATATACTGAAATATGGACATGTTAAGATGACTACAATGTCGACTGTTATCAGATGCTGTTTTTAAATATTTTTTGTTTAAATGTGTCTATATATAAAATACTTAGTTTTGAGAAATGGACAGCAACCGGTATATTCAACAAACTCCTAAATGTAAAGATTCTCAATGCAACTCAAGCGTTTTGTGTTAATTTCATTAACTAAAACATTCTATTGATTTGTTTAATCCTATTGAGTGCATTCAGATTCTTAAATGTAGATTTGGAGATCAGGTCAATTCGCCATTAAACAATAAAATTACTTCCTGTTACATTTGTAACTTATATACAATAAAGATTACATAAATATAGTGTCTTTGGGCTTTATAAAGATAAGTGTATATTTTACAATAGGCCTCGCTAAGGTGTTCTCATATATATATATATATATATTAGAATAGGATTGTATAGTAGCGGCTCAATGCAAAGACATCTTGGATCAGATGAATCTAATTTGATAGCATCGCGGAGCATACTAAAATTTATATAATATACTATATTGCACTTGTAACATTAATACATAAAGATAGATACAAGAATATGAGCAAAAGTTGGCTTATCTCTGAAAGAGATCTCTTCGAGCCTACTTTTTATATATAATACCTGAGTATTTCTAAATAGAGATTCATATAATTTTTTAATTCTTACTGTCTATAATAAATTTTCTAATACTGCTTATATACTCATTAGTATTATATTTATATACTATCGTCTAAATTTTATTCCTTAGACCACGCGAACTATTTTCAATTACAACGAGATGGACCAACTTCTATATTAACCGTGGAAAGTTTGCCACCAGAAGTTTTCAATGAACAGAGACAATTGACGCTTATAATAACTGCAACTAAACCTAGAACAATCGGCGCTACAGCCATCGTACAAATCAGATTACCTCCAGGTGATTCATTTTAAACAACACACATAAATGAATTTATTATAATATCTTATTTTCTGTAGAAGTACAATAATTAGTTCTCTTTTCTTTATTATTGTAATGAACGAATGCCACAATTACATCTAAAAAAATAATCATTAACATAAGATATATAACTCTATATTTTCATATAATAATTCTGAGTACGGTAAGTTTAAACTTGAACATGTGCACAGCATCCTCCTCATTTTCACTCATTGCATGTTTTTTCTCATTATCTCTTTACTGTTTTCTATAAACTTTCTCAATGGATAGGTTCTTATCGTCCTTTAAACGGGACACCCGTTTAAAATTTATAAGGAGCCTGAGTGTTATAATAAGATTTTCGATTACTATAGTTTATATATGTAATCTAAGTTTGTACTTTGTACTTAATTCGATAATTTTAAGTATGTACGAAATAAAATGGAATTAATCTTCAATCAAATAAAATAATTAACATAATTAATAACATATTGTAATAACTTTTGAATAGTCTTATAATTTTTATATCACTCATGTTTACTTTTCATTAATTCCTTCATTTAATTCTTCGGCTAATTGTTTTATTATGAAAAAGGTTTTGGCTGTTTTCTTCTTGGATTGCTTTTTAACATTCCACGTTACAGCAAGACTATTGACATTTGAAGCCCCTATATACAAAGGAACCTATGAAAATGGTCTATTTGAACACGACACCATTAGATTAAATGTTGATTATGATGATGACGTTACATTCAGTATTAATAGCGGTAAGTCTTATTTTTGTATGCATAGCAGCTCTTTAGTCAATGGCAACTCGTTATGTTATAATCGCGTAATAATAAGATAATTGGAAATCATTTTTAGACGTAATAAAAGTAAATTTCTAGTCTCAGTGGTTTAAGCATATACAAAATATATCTCTATTTATATAAAAAATGTAAAATAAATCACATATGAAAATTCATATACTCCACCTAAAACAAAATAATAGAATTTTGAGATAGTGCATAATCTAATTCGACAATCAATCGGTATACAATAAAGACGAAAATATATATGGGTCTATTATTTTTCTCTTTAATTTTAAAGCACAAATATAATAATTTAATTATTATATAAAGGAGTATATTAAGAGGTTATTATTATTACAATGTTTATCACTTTTTGATGTACTTAATGGTAAATCCATTCATCCATACATCTAATAATATTTTCAAATTACTTTCAGATTTCAACAGTAACTTTGATGTAACGTATCAAGAAAACGAAGTAATAATACTGTTATTGGAACCGCTTCCTGAGAGTGTTATTTCAGAAAATAATTTCCTTTCGATAATACTAAGCGCCTCTGCTGTTAATGCTGAAACTACGTCTACAACTTTATTGATAGAAATAATAAAAGACGACATTACCACCCCTGTTTTTAATAACCATATTTACCATGCAACCTTTTCCAATAACAATATTGATATTGAGGACATTTCTTTATTGCAAGGCTATGACTCCACAGTATCAATAGATTTGATTGGCGGTAAGTTTTTTTAAATCTCAAAATATTCATAAACATATATAAAAATGTATACATAATCATTTTTATAGCTAATAGCAATATACCAAATATTAATGTTACCCATATGAAAATAGCGCCATTCTCTCTCTCTATATTTTTCTTCCCTTCCTGTTAGGAACTTCCCTTTTAATCAAACTTCATTTTCAAATCAAATGCCGTAATTTATTTTATTTTCCTATTTTCAGAACATTCGCAATATTTTAATTTCGAAACAATAGAAAACACTGTACGGATTCAATTAACAAGTCCAATTCCGGAAGATGTGATTCTTAATGAGAAAAAATTGTTTTTCAATGTTATAGCTGAAAAACCAAACACAGTTGGTGCAAACGCAGCTATTATTGTCAGTTTTCCTGCAGGTAAGTTGCGTTTGCTACTTTATAGTTGTAGTTTAGAATAACCAGTATGATCTTAATAATTTTGCTTATAGTAATAATATGTTTTTATTATTTTGTATACATTAATTTATGTAACGATATTTTATATGAGGGGAATAATAAAGAGCGTTCAATTCATTCGAATTGAAAAGTAATCGATGACATTTTCAGAACTTACTAATCCCACAATAATGAGATTTTCGCGAAATGCTTACATTGGTGCTATAGAAGATAATCAATTGACTTTAGAAGACATCAGTCTCATATCGGGTTACACAGAAGACACTGAATTTACAATAAGTGGAGGTAACTATTACTATTTAACTTACTCTATTACTTATTAACACAATATTTCTGACATAACGAATATTTATTTATACTTCGAATAAACTGTAGCATGCAAGTATATTTACAGTATGTCTACTTACATATATTATGCCACCAATTGTTTTGTATTTACCCAATAGTTACAGTAAGTGCATACTTGTTTAAAATGATCAGTTGCACACATTTTTAGGGCAAATATATATAATGTAAATGGAAATAAATATATAAAAAGTGTAGTAGAATCTGGATTAATTCCTTATTAATATACATAGTTAACCGGGTCTTAACGCAAATAATTTTAGAGTATTAATATCTTTTAAAAAACAAATAATAAAAATAATTCGGGTTAATTTCAAATAACTATATCTATTAATAATGTGTACTAAACGAAAAGTTTGAAAGCTACTTTTAACTATTTACTTTTTTATTTCTTTATTTTTAGTTTTAATAACTATTATTTTTATAATAAATAACATCGAAATATGTTATAGCAAAATGAATAGAAGACCAAATTTATTTTTAATATTGCTTGCAACTTATTTCTTTTCATTCGTCTTAGATGGTATCTAGGATAATTTCTTATAGGAATTTGAAAACTTTATGAAAGCATTATCTGTCAGGTATAAATAATCTTTATACCTACATGACAATACACAAAAATATATAAAGTAGCATTTCTCTTATGTTAAAAAATAGGTTATTAAACCATTATAATTTCCAGATTTGGAAAGTTACTTCAGGCTGTCAAAAAATGAATCAATTGTTACTTTAATACTGGACGACCTCATACCTGAAGAATCAGTGCCTACCAACCGAATCATTGAGCTTGATATACATGCTACTACAGGAGATGCTGTACCTGCAGTAGCAACGATAATACTCAAAGTTATATCAGAAAACAACGAACTTGTAGAACTCGTTTTCGCAGAAACTTATTACGTTGGATCTTACAGCAGAAATACTAGTATCGAATTCGATAAATCCATATCTTTGTCAGACGGTTATGACGAAAACGTCATTTTCGATATTGAAGGAGGTATGTAGCCAATGAATACCTATTATACTTCAAATATTTTTACTATCTTGTTATAATTATAATAATTGAACAATAAGTTACATAGTTAATTTAACTTTAAAATTTATAATATTTTTTATTTATATCTTTTATTTAATTATTGTCGTAATTTACATTACATTATTTTCGTCTCTGTGCGATTACTTAGATTTCATTCACAGAACAAAGACTAATGAAGCGTTGGATCGTATAGTGAATATGATCAATATTTAACTTTTTGTATTTCATTATGAACGCTAACGGTCCATATTTTATTATGCGCGCAAAATACTTAAATATCCGTACTAAATTTTGTAATAATAATAATGATCTAATAATGACTTTGCAGATGACTCGCAATACTTCAAATTAAACATACTAGATGAGAATTCTGTTACAATAGAGTTGACCAACAGCATACCAGATGATATCTTGAACAATAATCACCAGTTGCTATTCATAATCAGGGCTGATAAACCGGGAAGCGCCACTGCACGAGCTACTGTCGTAATATCACTTCATAATGGTATTTATATAAATTTTAAGGCTAAAATTGATACAAATATCAACATAAAAATAAATTTTATGTAAAAATAACATGAAAAAAATAATATAAATATATTTTTTTAAATTAATTATTTTTAAAACATGCCCTTACCAATACGGTTTACTACCTAACTTCGTCGCTAAGTCGTCAGTTTAAAGTTGACCCACACCAGACAACTTTCTAGTCCACCTTTGTTACATCTAATGACGAAAACATTTCCCTTAAGAGCCAAATTAGGTCACACATTAAGAAGAATGGAGAGGGTGGAGAAACTGTGACATCATGTGACAAGTATTGCAATGTTTCGAAACTATTTTATTTGATTTTGTATTTTTTTTTCTCAATGGCAAACTATTTTTGAAAACTATTTAGAAACAAATAATGTTATGGATATTTTTAAGTCATCATACAGAAAAAGTAATTTTGATGTATCCTAAAAATAATAAATTCTTCTTAGAATAAGACATACTTATTTCATCATTTTCCGTAGTATTTAGGGGAAGATTAAACATACTAGTTATTTATATTTATTTATTTTACTTAGTTCGGTGATTTATCTAAGCTATAAAATTAGTTAGCCATCTTTAGATATAAAATTGACTAGTAGTCGCCTAGTGGTTGTAATTCGACCATAATTAATTTAACATTCAGTAAGACTACAGACAAATAGTAATAATAAAGACAAACAATATTAAGCTATTGAGAATAGCTTTAAATTTAATTTGACCACATATTTAAGCATACACAAAAGATGATATGCGTATGTGTGTCACATACACGGTGTGTGTAAATATTTTTTATTGATTTAATATATGCATATTTAAAAAAAAACTCAGCATTCTGCGCTCTTTCTCTCTATATAAACTATACCTTCTTCTTAATCGTTCCCTCACTGCTAAGGATCGCGACTCTACATTATCTTGTCAACCAGCTATCGCCATCGGTTACGCTCAGACGCCTGGTGTAGTGCGGCGCTGACAGTAATGTTTAGCTGACGGAATACCTGGTCTCACCATCAAGTGGGACTTCGGCCTCGAGGTCTTCTTGTATCTTGGCTGTTACGCTACAGATTATATTGATGTGACATGCTGCACCAAGCGCCAGCAGTACGCTACCCGGCCAAATACTGTCGGGCCAAGGAGGCGACCTGCGGACGATGCGAAGATACGGGGCACAATCAATCGGGCTGCAAGTCCGAGGAGACCCGCTGTGAGACGCGTCACCGCTTCGGCAGAGAAGACGCCGCCTCACACGCCATAATGGCTAGAACCCGCCCAATGCTTCTACACACCGAACAACGAGCGGTCCATACAACCCAATATGGATCGAAGGCGTCCTACAATCTTCATTGTGCAAATCAACGCGAGGGGCTCGGAACTGGCGACCAGGGAATTACCGGCCATCGCGCGGGGCCTGGGCCTCGATATCGTTCTTACCCAAGAACAATATTCGAAGGGCTGGGTTGACCCGGAGGCGCTGCTTCTAGCGGTGCAAGCGGATAACCAACCGAAGGCTAGCATCCTCCTTGGTGCTGACTCTTTGAGCGCCGCGCACAGTCCGACCTCTGCACGGAGCACTGCGTAGTGGCACACATTGCAGCCCTGGATATTTTTGTCATGTTGGCGTACTTTCAGTACAGTGAACCCATCGACCGCCACCTGCACCACCTTGAACGGATGCTGTAGGAACTCCGCAGAAGGAGAGTCCTCATTGGACTGGACAGCAACGCGCACTCGCCGATGTGGTTTTCTGAGCCGCGGCACTAGACTGGACGTGGGCACGAGACAGGGCACCGGAGAAGGGCGATGGAGTGCTTCATTCTGAGCCAGGACCTCGTCATTGGAACTCGCCGGGCCACCCAGCAACCTTCTGTGACCCCAATGGCGAGTCTATCATCGATATCAACATTACGACGAGGGGGATTAAGCTCTCCGGCTGGCAAGTCCTCGAGGGAGCCAGCAGTAGTGACCATAAGCTCATAACTTACCGCGTCGACGAGTGTGGCGATCGACTCGCGTCGTGCGCTGAGACAGTTAAAAATCATCCTAGGTATCGGGACCGGCATGTGGATTGGCAACTCTTCCGTAGGCGGGTCCACTTTCATATGGGCGACCTCCGCACTGCTCTCCCTCCGGCTGAACTGAACTCTGCTTTCACTAACGTGATTAGTAGATGTGCCAGAGAATGTCTGGGGTAGAAGCGGGCAGGGGAAATACCGGTTATGAGTCGTGGACCCCTGACCTTGATGATCTACGGCGGTTCGCCGCCAGAGCTAGGCGACGATGGCAGGCGTCCAAGCAGAGGGATGGACAGGTTGAGTCTGACACCAGAATGGCCACCGGGACGCGCGCTCACGCTACCGGCGTAGAATGGAGGAGGTGCAGAGGTCACACTTTAGGCACCAAGCAGGCTCTGGAAACCAGGATCCCTGGAGCCAAGCCTACAGGATTGCGAGTGGGAGGATCAGACCTCCCAGTAACATTATAAATGGCACTGTGTTTGCCGAAGGCCATGCGAGGGACGTGGGCGAATCCATGCGCGCCCTTGTCGGGGCTCTGTGCCCTGATAACGATCAGTCTCATGGAGTACCACCGTCAGGTGCGTGTACGGGCTGCGCTCACGCCCTCAGGCGACTCTGCGCCCCCCCTATCCAGATAGGATCTAAAAAGCATCATCAAGTTGCTATCCAATACCGCCCCGGGGCTCGACGGGCTCTCTTCCCGAACAATCAGATAGGCGTGGAAGGCGGTGGAAGTCGAATTCCACCTTGTCTACGCGCGATGCGTAGAAGCCGGCATTTTTCTCGGCATATGTAAGAAAGATCGGCTGCTTGTCTGCCTAAGGGTAACGACAAGCCGCTGACTGACCCGAAAGCGTATCGTCAAGTAAAGGCCAAACAGGGTGGTTGTCCGCCCAATATCTACAGGATGCTGGAAGGCTACTTCGCTGGTAGTAACCAGGTGTTGTGGAAAGAATGCATCATGGGATGTGCACAAGGTTCGGTATTACGTTATGGAACCTATTAATGGATGACCTGCTTCGTCTCCCGTTACCTGCGAGTGTAAGGAGAATGACTGCATACGCGGACAATGTTACGTTCCTGATCGCAGCCGACTCTCGGAAGGGCACTTACATAGCCACGTTGTACGCTATGCACGCATGCTGCACCCGTATGGCATGAAAGAATCAATGTCCATGTCGTACGTAGTATAGTTTTCAGGTTGCAGCGACCGTCTCTCATTCTCCTGACGACATCGTACAGGAACGTTGGCGCGGCGGCACTGCCAGTATTGAAGGGGGGTCTTGCCTGCGGAGCTGGAGGTAATCCGTGCTGCCAGAATGGATGCGGAGTGCGAGTCCGCGCCAAAGCGGACGCTGTAGTCGCAGAATGGCAGGAGCGATGGCAGTCCTCCGCGGATTGAAGAGAGCTCTATCGATACTTCGCGGATGTGGCTATTAGGTTGGCGTCTCCGTGAGTCGAACCCGATTACAAGACGTCACAGATCTTGACTGAACACGGCTGCTTTATTAAGCGACTGCATGCCATGAGACTCTACAAGTAGAGCGGCTGTAGCTGCGGGGATTCGGAAGAGGACCTCCACCACGTTGTGTGGGAGTGCTCGCTGTATTCCGACCTTAGGGGGAAGCTGCTGTAGGGGGATACGTCGCGGTGAAGGCGAAGGAGAGGGTCCGGTGTAATACTCAGACTTGGTGTCTTCGGAGGAGAATTTTAGGAGGCTGAGAGAGTTCGCGCATCTTTGGCACCGGACGCGGAGCTAGTACGAGAAAACTGACGGTGGTACGTGTTCCAAAAGAGAGGATGCTGCTGAAGATGGAGTGCTGCCCGGCACCGAAGCCGTTCATGTTTCGACCGATGCTCCAGAAGCGGGTGCGACAGAAGGGACAAGAGTAGATATAATGAAGAGTAGATATTTGTAGTGGTCAAGAGAATGCGTGCTTTTCAGCGCGCATTCCCCGTAGATTTGGCCAGTATAACCGAAAGATTGGCATGGCCATGGGTTAATGGAAGGTTGTCCACACTCCTCCACGCAACGTGTCCGAAGTATCGCACAATGCGTTGCAGAAAACCTGTGATCGTACCAGGTGTATTTTGGTTTTGTTGGTGATGTTTCTGTTTCTCCATAGTTCGCTCAATTGGTTCATTGCTGTCTTAGCCATGGCGAGTATCTCAGTTTCGCAGCTGCCTCGGTTTGTGATCACGGAGCCAAGATATTGGAATTGGTTAACATGCTATGCTATGCATAGTCAGTCTCACTAGGTCCGTGCGCTGTATTGATGAAAAGCGATCGATTACAATAACTTTGATTCATACCTTTATTAATAGCAAGGCCCAACCTCAGGTTCACAGTTTCCAAGCGATCCAGTATTGTCGCTATTTCTGTCTCAGATGATGACAGCAAGGTAGTGTTGTCAG